GAGGTTTGACTGTATAACTTTTTTTTTTATTATAACAATCTATTTTTATTTTTTAAGCAAGCTTGTTTAACATAATAGTTTACATATAATTGCAGATTTAAAATTAGTATAGATCTTCTTTTTACAAAATTTTATTAGCAAAATGTACAAAATTTGCAAAATTTTTAAAAGTTGTTTTAAGTAATTTTTTTTTTAAAATAAGATCTTGCTTGTATCTTTATTTCTTAAATTGTAATATAGACAAATTTGTTTATATTTTTATTAAAAATTTTAATTTTTTTAATAAAATTTTAAATATTAATTTTAACTATATATTTTCTAAGTAAAATATCTAATTTTAGATTTGTTTTATTAATTTTATTAAAAAAAATTTTTAAAATTATTAAAAAACTTTAGTATAATAAAAAGTTAAAGTTTTTGTATTAAACTTTTTTTTATATGATTTTTTTTTTTTTAACTTTATAGTAATTTCTTATAGTTATTACTTATTGCTATATTTATTAAGGTTTATTTAATTTCAGAATTTACAATAAAAGTATAACTAGCAAAAGTATAGTGACTTAGTGAAGTGATAGAGTTGTCACACCCCCAGACGGCAGGTCTGGAGTTCAAATCCCACAGACAATGGTTTTGAAAAATAGCCTTGTGATTTGGTTAATAGCTATCATTATCAGTTGGATCCTAATCTGTAATCTTGATTATACTATCTAAAATAGAAGCTTTAGTACAATAAATTTAAAGAACCAGAATAGCTAAAAACCTATTTGGCAAGTTTCAAGTTGGGAAGTAGCATGATCTTTGACAGTACTACAGAAAGACCAAATTTGGAACCAAAAACTAAAATTAAAAAACCAAGTTACCAGGTTTTTTTAGTAAAGAAACATACTAGCTGAACCGCCAGGTCACCAACTAGAGAAAAAAGACATATGCTCTAGAAGCATGTATCAAGAGGAGGGAGTTCATAAGGCACATAAAGCCTAGGCAGACCAACCCTTCTGAGTTGCTGGCTAGAAGTAAGAAAAAAAATTCAAAGAAAAAAAAAAGTCTAAATATGGGTACTGGGGTTGTGTGAACTTTACAAAAGCAACAAGTATATAATGGAAAACTAATTAAGAAAGTTGTAGCTTAAAATACAAATCAGGTTATGACAGTATTCTAAAGAATAGCTTAAAATACAAACTCAGTAATGGTAGCACAACAGATACTAATTAGATAGAAAATTATCAGAACATGCAAGTAAATATATGTATGAAACATGGACTACTCTGTTAGGTTTATCTTGTAAATAAACTAGCTAATAGCTAGTAAGTTCTAAAGTAGATGCAAATAGAGGTCTGACCCAGTCAATAAATATATATTCGAATATTCATTTGTTCAATTTAATTATATTCGAATATTCATTGAAAATCTCAAATGAATATTCGAAATATTCAATGAATATTCACTGAATACTAATTCGAGTATTCAATGAATATTCAATGAATATTTTTTGTGGTTTAGTATTCATTGAATAGAATCGAGTATTTAGTGAATATTTTTTATAGCTTAGTTAAGTATTTACTAAATAGAGTTTGAGAATTTGGTAAAAAATTATTATATTATAACTTTTCAGTATTTAGATTATACTTGTTAAACAAGATCTATAGCAGATCACTAATTCTATTTTGTGTAATAATTTAAAACTTTATTTTATTGCTTGAGAGAACAAATATTCAAAGGGTTTATATAATAGTAAACTAAATATTATCGCTCAAGTTTTTTTATATCAAATTATTATTATTAAACACATTTTTGTAGCTTGCTTGTTTGGCCTTTAACAATTTAAGTATCAATTTATTTTATAATATATATATTTCTGTATTTAGAAATACAAGACATTCTATTTTAAAAAAGAATATTACTAATTGTTTATATTTTATAATTTTTAACTTAGAACTTGGCCACTCATTTTCTAACCACTTTATACCCTTTCTAAAATATTTGCTTAAGCATAAACATTTTCAAGCTCATTATTATTGCACTTTAAAAACAACATTTGTTCAAATAATCTAGATTTCAACATCATTTTTCTGATAGTTATTATATTACTTGCATTACTGAAAAGCCTTTCGCTTGGAGTTGAAGTTGCAGATATTGCGAGATATTGCCTGGCAAATTTACTGATAATAGGAAAAAAAGCCTTTTGAGAATTCTACTAGTCAAACAGATTCGACTTGTAGAAGATTTCAGGTAAAAAAAGATAATTATCAACTTCATTATTTGATTCATCAGAGATATTTTGCATAAAAACTGTTTTTAAAAATGAATCATCCATTTCAAAATTTATTTCATCATCTAATTCTTTATCATAAGAGCTTGTAGAACTAGCTAATTTTTGCATTAGTGCCAAAATAGACAGAAACATATATAAAATAATAACATATTCCAAACCATCAAGCTTCTTTATAGTTTTATAAAAAGAACCCAAGATTACAACAAGATCTTTCATTAAATCCCACTCATCTTCGATTAGTTGTATTTGCTTTAATTTTCTTGAATCTTTATGGGCTTTAGAAGCAGTAGAGATAGTTAATATTGTTAAGACAATATTGATGGCATCCTTAATAAGTAAAAGGCATTCCCAAGCTAAAAAAGATGAATTTCATTGCGTGAGTATATCTATTTTTGCACAAAAGTACATCAAAGTTTTTTTAATTATCTATTATTAAAATAGTTTAATATTGAAATGAAAAATTAGTAAATAAATATATTACATTTTTATCTGAAATTTTCATCGTCTTCTGAGCATCTTCTAGTTATTTATTTTGTTTTGATGTCATAAAAAAATTTATTAATCATTTGGCCCTTATTACAAGCTTTTCAGCTAGCATTAGACCTTTTTCTACAACGAGTTGTAGAGTATGAGCAGAACAAGGTATCTTTATAATATTGGTTATATTATTGATTGCAGCCTTCATGTTTGCTCCATTATCAGTCGTGATCGAATATATCTTTCCTGTAAGACCCCAATCAGAAATTATATTTTCTAGTTTTTCTTAAATAGCATTAGCAGTATGTGGATATTTAACATAAATTGAAGAAAGCAAGATTTCATGGATTTTAAATTCAGGGTCAATCCATGAACAGGTGATGCCAAGATATCCTTGCTTGTTGCAAGCTGTCCACAGATCTGTAGTAAGTGAGCAAGTCATTACACTATTTTGTAACTTTTCCTGCATACTTCTAGCACACTGATTATATAACATATAAATTATTTGTTTTATTCTTTTTTCACTGGGCAAAATAAACATTGGATTTAATTCTTTTATGAACTTGCAAAAAAATTGACTTGATATAAGGTTAAATGGCCGAGCATTGCAGATAACAAATTTAATAAGAGCCATAATAAGTTTGTTATTTTTTGATTTATTATGTTGGTAAGTGGTTGTAGTTGCTATAAATGAGTCGATTTTAGTTTGCTTAGAATGCTATGTAAAATGATATTAGTTAAATTTTTTAATTGCAAATAAATTATTAATTTAATGGTTTATTTATATTATTATGTTTAGATAACTTGGATCCATCCTTCGTAATGCCATGGATGTTTGAAAAATGAGATATCAAATTTGAAATTGAGCCATCTATTAATTTCAATTGAGACTTACATTCCTGATCAAAATTATTCAATACAAGACAAATGGCATATATAACCTTAATATTAACTTTCTTATCAAGTTGTTGAATAGTTTCGATTACTTTTTTTTCTTCGAAGTAATTCTATACTCAGCTTTATTTTTTTGAGCCACCCTTTCAACCAAATTTAGCTTTTTTAAAGATAAGGTTATTATAAATTTTCGATATCACTTCTTGCACTTGTACTTATTTCTGATGTTGGGCTACTCGATCTTGTAATAGAATCTGTGAACATTTTGTTGAATAGTTGAGCTAATGAAGTTGAAGTATCGTTTTCTTCTATTGTGTTACTAATGACTACTTTTGTTTAATTAATTGAGATGCTTTACAAGCATCAAGATAATAGAACACTATTTATAAAGTTTTATAATTCAAAGAGCTAAACTATTGAATTAAACTCAAAAACTTTCAATTAACTAATCATACACTTCTTATACAGATAACTTATGCATAGACTTAATATATATAGTTGTGTCATATATGCTTTGATTGTTCATATACATATACTTGCATGGCTATGACTAATATGTACTAAATTATATAGATAAGTCTTTTTATTCATACAGCATTCTATATTAATAACCTACGCCATTTTCTGATTGTCTTAACCATTTTTTTTTTTAACATGCTTTAGTTTTCCAAAAAATCTTATGATAACTTCGAGTGTACTGGGTTTTACAACTCTAGGTTATGTGGCTATCTAATATTGTTAAAAAAAGCCACTTTAAACTCCAACACTAATTCTTATCATTTTAATACTATCATGGAGTCTGTTTATCTGATAAACCTTATTAGATAAATAGTGCATATATTATGTAAAACAATTCAAAGAGTTACATATGCTTAGAAATAAGTAATATATATGAGAAAAAGAAAGCTAAAAGTTCATTGTTAAAACTGCAGATTCAGATAAGATATTTTACTTGGTCATTGATAAGTATTAAGTTATAAATAAATGAATGAAATTTTTTTCTATACTAAAAATTATAAACAATATATATCAATCTAACTATTGTTATGATTGATAAAATATCAATAAAGCTTGTTGAGGTGAGCAGAGTAGGTGATTGCTATCTGCTCCTAATACAGAATTGTGGCAGCAAATGACTAAATTTGAAGAATAGCTTTGAAAGAGTATTAATAAATTGTCGTGAAATAATACCTACCCGCATGTTATTTTAAGTATATATGCGTCATTTAGAGTACGCGTATGGGCATCATTATAAGACAAGATTGTCATATCTAATTATTTTTTGAAACTCTAATGCTGGGTGCACGTCATTTTAGAACATGCATATATATTATTTTGAAACAATGTATGCCATTTTTATAGGATATGATTTTTTAAATAATGTCTATAGCCATTATTTCACGACAATATGGTATAGCATTTTTCAAATTATTGAATCCCGATGATCATTCTATAACTTTTGGGGTTAACTTTAGGTTTAAATATTCTGAATTACTCGCTTTGGCTAGAGCTGGGATTCTTTAAATATTTATTATCCCTTAATTAGTAAAGATTTGCAGGCAAATTTGGCTGCATAATTACTATAAATATGTCTATGATCTACTTTTTTAATTATTTAAAATATTTAAATAAAATTTAATATGATAATATTTGAAAATAAGGATTATATTTT